TCACATCAAAACACAAACACATTTACATTATAACCAAGCATATCAAAATAAATTTAATTAAACAAAAAGTTAAATTATTATATGAAGTAAATGCATTTATGATGCATTGCAAGATAAACTCTACAAAATGCCTTTTAAAATTTGGTCATTTCTAATACAAATATTAAATATAATTATCACACACACACAATCAATAATAATATTATTTAAAAATAATTTTCAAACTCAAATACAAATAAACCAACTCGAATTTGACATTTATAAGTTTTATTTACATTCAGTACTTGTAAAGAGGCATGTCGTTCATTTTTTTCTCGTGGGTGCAAACACATTTTACAAGAGTTTTCTTTAACATAATGAGTAATTATAATTGTGTTCAATATTTTGCAGCTCAGACACCAGAATTACCGAAGGAGTAATGACATTGCTTAACATCAAGACATCAAGAATAAGCGAAGGGGTAAGCACAGTTCATACATCAAGACATCAAGAATTATCGAAGGAGTAAACACAGTTCACATTACATCAAGACATCAAGAATTATCGAAGGAGTAATCAGCAGAACGTTTCTCCGAGTAATGGCTATATCATTTCATTACTTGGAGAAAGTTCGTTTGTTTTAACAGGAGCTTCTTCAAAGATTCCATTTAGACTGAGAAGAATTGTGGTTCGCATCCTTCCGGAAACACGTAGCGTCGAGTGAACTCTGGATATTTTTTTGAAATCCGAGTTCATCAGGTTTTTCTCCGTGCTTGCAGAGGATCATAATGCTGTTTATTATCAATTGCTTTGGCGTCAGTGTAAGTGACTGACGCTTAAGCATCACTTAGAATCAGTCAGGATCATTTATCACTTCGGATTAGCCGGGAGTCCGGTGCGGGAGCAGAAAACCGCCATACTACGATGGTGACGAAGGATGGATGTCATCATGTCCCAAGCCGAGGTGGCGATCCGAAATTCGAAGTGGATAATCTCGGGAACTCCGCCTTTCATAAGGAGAAATGGCATTCTTCACTGGGAATAATGGCATTTAGCTTTGGATATTCAGACATTAACTATGGTCTGACCATCAAAAGTGGATACCTCATAAAAGATGGTGCTCAAATAAAGGAGAAAGACTTAAGGCACGGACGGTTCGTAAGGCACTGTCTCGCTCCGAAAATTTCACCGGCTTTTATAGCTTACGTCAAGAAAGCTCTAGAAAGTTCTCCGCGATTCCGGAAATCACCATGGCAACGGGAACGTGGGAGGCATTTATCGATTGGCTTCTTCGTATATTTGGCTATTTATTGCACGTATTGCATTCAGGATTATTCGTAGAAAAATATATACTCCATTTTCCAGTAAGTTAGAAGTCTACAACCCGAAGCCCGCGGACCACAAATGGTCCCCCGAAGGCATTTTTGTGGCCCCCTCATTTGAATTTGAGAAAATTTCAGAGAAAAAAAAAAAGTTGTCATGTTTCCTTTTTGTTGGAAGAAACGCCATTTTTGTTTTATTTTATTTTATTTATTTGTTTATTTGCTATCTTTGATACTTAAAGCATTTCGCTGATGTGTTTGATATCCACTTAAGATAACATTTTACGAAAATGACAAAATTTTTCAAAAATAGTGTTTTATCTTAAATAATTTTAAATATAAAAAAATCTGAAAATGCATAAATTCTCAGAAATTTTCGGAAAAAAGGTAACCTTTTATCTTTAACAGGTTTATTAATTATTTTAATTCGACATCGATTTAACTTTTTTGAAACCCACGCAAAAAAAAAAAATATATCTATATATATTTAAATGTATGTAAATTAATCACAATTCTATAAATAAGGAAAATTTTTTGAAATATTAGAATCCCAGAATACAACATTAAATTTCAAAATCCTTCCCTTTGAAAATTTTTCCTTTTGGAAGGGGTAAAAACTCAATTTCCCTCATCGAATGAATGCTTTGCCTTCGATTCTAAGCAACACTCGATTTTCAGCAGCATTAACTTTAAAATAAAAGCGTGGCTTAGATTCGTGTATAAATACGGTGTATATATATATATACACACATACACAAATCTGTAAACGCCATCTTTTCCTTATTATCAGTTGTAGCCTTGTAAAACAACCTCCCTTTTTTATATACCGTAAAATCCGGCGTATAACGCGCACCCTCTTTTTTACGAAGAAACCTGACATATACATATGCAATGCTGTTATGTTTTGAAGCGATTTATTCGAGGTATTTTCCTAAACTTTTGCAAAATAGTATACTTTTAGAACACAAAAACCTTTTAAGTTCATTAAGAATGTCCTTTCTTTAAATAAACAGTATTTCGAAATATGTAGAAGTCTAATTTTTCTTTTTTTTATGCTCATTTCTTTTTCTTTTTATTTTTAAAGCTGTCATTTTTATATCCGGCCTGTAAATTTCGATTTTATTTTTGGTGTTAAAAATGCGCGTTATACGCCGGATTTTACGGTAAGTGTTCTGACTAATATTTTTTTGACAGTAGTGTGGCCCGCGGATCACTGTGAATGTATTGATGTAGTCGGCTGATCATTGTAAATTTATTGATGTAGTCGGCTGATCATTGTAAATTTATTGATGTAGTCGGATGATCATTGTAAATTTATTGATGTAGTCGGATGATCATTGTAAATTTATTGATGTAGTCGGATGATCATTGTAAATTTATTGATGTAGTCGGATGATCATTGTAAATTTATTAAGCGTGAAAGAGAGAGAGGATGAAGACCCTTACAGTCAGTATTATTTGGCCCTTTATCAGTGAATTGGTATGAGTGTATGCAGTAGCGCACACAGAAATTTTTCAAGGAGGGGGAGGTCCGGGGTCGAAAGTTCACCATTCTTGTATCATGCTCCTTTGGATTTTGTCGATTTTCGGGAACAAAACACAGTAAAAAACTAATTATTGAATAAATAATTAGCATTAATTAATAAAATTAATCATTAATAACAAATAAATATTACGTACTATATACTTAGAATTATAATCAATCGGAAAAAATTCAAGGGCTTTGGGGTAGGGGGGGGCCGGCCCCCCAGGACCCCCCCCCTTGTGTGCACCACTGAGTGTATGAGTTATTTCCAGTCCCGGGAATTAACTCATATTTTTCAAGAAATTTACATCAAACATCGGCAAAAACAGGTTTTTAATCACATTTGTTAACAAACATGATATCGCGAGTGAATACTTATTTCATTTCAATTTCTACTATTAGTTCACACTCTCCCTACACACACACATATATTTATTTATATATATACAGTCAGATTCTATATAAAGAAGTCGCTAAATCCCGAAAAAAAGTTCGTTGTATGGAAAATTCGCTATATAGAGGTTTATCTTTCAATTTTCTTTATAAACCACATAAAACAAGTTTTAAGGTATCCAACTACCCTAAAATCGTGATTTTTTTCAAAAATCGACAAAAATTTTTTATGATTTTATTTTATAGGCCATCTTATTAGCTTAGTAAAAATACCAAGCTTTTTATTTTCCATTCCCTAGAACAAAAACTACAAGTGTTTTAATAAAAGAGGATGCCTTAACTTTACACAAGATGTCAAACTTTAAAATGCGTTTTACTCGAAATGTGTTTTTTTCGAAAAACTCAAACGGAGATAGCGATTGCTTTAAAAGTTTTGAAAATAATTTGCTGTGTGAAATTTTTTTTATGAATGTTTTGTATAACAATAGAAGTGTTTTGACCTTCAGATTTATATCAATCACTGTTTTATTTCAAAATTTGCAGTCCTTTATGTAAATATAATCACTGTTTTTTTAAGCAATTTCATATAGTCACTAAGATAGAGTGCTCTAGATTTTGTAAAAATTAAAATATCTGTTATTCGTAAGGTCATTTCAAACATGAATAACAAAGTAACACATTAAAATTGAAAAATTGAGAATTTCTTCAAAATAATTTTGCACAGAGCGGGCCCTGTTTATGTAATATTTTGTACATTTTCCCCAGTTTTTTCCCCTTTTAATAATAAATTTTTTTTCTGTTTTCAATTTTACTATTTTTTTCCTTAAAATATACTTAATAAATCTAAAAATCACAAAAAAAAATTTCCATACTCCATTTTTTCAAAAAAAAGTTTTTGCAAGTAGTCGGATACATTAAATTCATAAACACTATATATTAAAAAAGTAACTATCCACACCTTTTGTAAATAAACATATATTTATTTTATATATCTTACCTATCAGGAAAAGAAAGAAAAACTGCAAGAAAAGTCTCTTGACACCTTAATCCCCTTTCTGAAGAATTAAATTTTTTTTCTTTGATTCTCAAGCACTTACGTTTGGACATTTTTGAGCTACGCGAAACGAAGTAAGCAGTACGGCTGATCAACAATACAAATGAACGGAGACCAGTTCAAGGACACGAGACTCCACTGAGGGTAAAAGGGGATACCAAAGATGTTTCCAGTGAACTGGACAATGGGAGTTAAAGGTTTCACTTCTTGGATACGATGCCCAGAGCTCTATTGCGCTCGGTGAGTTAGACACCAAATAAAACCAGTTAAAGATTTATGACCACCATAAAATGTGTTAAAAGAGAGAATAACTTGAAATTTCGAGACACAATTTTAAAATAAGGAGGGAAAAAAAATTGAATCACAAGAGAAAAAGTTCGTTATATAGAAAATTCACTTCGCTATTGGGAGGTTATTTTACGAAGAAAATCGTGACATGTTCTTGGTTCTCGGAAAAAGTTCGCTATATAGAAGAATTCACAATATAGAGGTTCGTTATACGGAGGTTCGACTGTATCTTGTTTAAATTTTCAATCGTTAATAAAATACTTTTTATTCATCTACTCAAGTGCAAATACATTTTTTTAAACTTGTAGTGGATAAAACTTGATGTTAATACAGTTTTTTCAAATATAAACTCATTAATTAAATTTAATTAATGAATAAATAGTAACAAACAAAAAAATAATAGTCCAACACTATATTTAAAGGAAAAATCATTCGTTGTGTTCCTGAAGCGCAAAGGATAGCGCGTTGAAATTCTAATCCAAAGATCATGGGTTCGAATCCCATGTGGGATGGCCTAATTTCTGAGAATGTGATTTCTTTTTTCTATGCTATTTTATTGGAATAATTAAATTTAATTTATGAATAAATAGCAAACAAAAAAATAATAGTCTAACATCATATATAGAAAGAAAAATGGAAAACCGAACGGAAAATTGCTTTCTATTTTACCACCTAATATTATGATTCTGTCATATGTATATACATATTTATATTAATTGTAACTATTTAACAAAAGGTGACTATATAAAGTAAAATTTTTCTTTGTTGACCTAAGTAGGAATTGACTTGAAATTTTTTTTTTATATTACTTGTTTTATAATTCAGCAACTACCTGTTGTGACGTTCCTGCCACACAGCTATGAATCGGCTTCTTTTGTGAGTATGGTCACCACACGTGCAATGACTGATTGATTGATTGAATATTAACGTCGCACTGTTCAGCTACACGAGGGCTTTTGGCGACGGACCACGTAATTTTGAACCATGGTCAAGTGACGTGGACGACACCTGAGCTTGC